CCTTCCCCTCTGCCCCCAGATGCGTAAGATGGTGTAAACCAGGGGCGGGCAGTTACTTCAGGCAGAGGGCAGCTTACTGAGTCGTGGCAAGCCATCGAGGGCCACATGACAGGCCCCCAGGGGCAGATAAATACTAATTTTCTAATTTTTTTAGTGGCCCCGCGGGCCAGACAGAATGGCCTGGCGGGCCGCATCTGGTCCACGGGCCTCATTGTGCTCACCCCTGATGTAAACCCTGCTGTTTGGCTCTTGCTGGGAAGGAAAAACCTCCACCCCTCTGGCAAAAATGCTGCAGCTGCTCCTTTCTGGTCCTCTGAAGCATCAAGTACTAGCTGCCGGTGGAGACCAAATCCTGCTTGGCCCCCTGCCAGGGATGCCACCCCTGGAGAGCAGCCTCCAGGGGTGATGGGCAGCTGGCTGGCTTGATCTATTCGGGAGGGCACGGCCTATTCCTTTTACATCCTCACTTCCAGCTCTGGTTACAGGTGTCAGTCTCCAGGTGGATCCCTATGACAAGAAGCATATCAGGGATATTAGGGAAACCTTCCAATTTCCAAGCATAGCGGCTGTTTCCATTTCCAGTTGATCAAGATCAGGTGTAATGTCAAAAAAGATAAAATGCCGTGTGACATGTGAAGCAAACTGCATGGGCAAATTGCTTTAAAGTGACATACCCATTTAGGTAGGGCATCTTCATGTCATCTGGCAAAATTACAGCTCTCTTCAGGAGTGGGCAGTAACATCAGTGAACATTCGTAGATGTGTTTGTGTTTTGTGATTGATTTCATAGCAAATTCACAATATTTTAATGTGTGTAGGTACGTGAAGGTCTGAACTGTATATGTTTGAGCTTGCGATAGCTATGTGTATATGGTTTCATAGTGATGTTCACACATTTTATTAGCCGACTTGTAGTCCAACTCATTATGGTGTTGATCTTGTTACTGTTGAAGCCAACGTAAGTCTTTCTTTTGACGGCTGTGGAAATTGGATTAGGGCCCATATCCAGGCAGAATATATCATTGACTAGACTGGATAAGGCGATTTCAGTTTCTGAGGAAAATACTGAATGTTGCCATCAGGAGGCAAGAGATGACATGATATCATCCAATGCAATGGTAAAATAAGCAGTTTTTATCTCCTGTGACTGTGGTTGCAGGAAGATACTCCCTGTTCCCTAACATCAGATTTGAGGGATCCTGAGGTAGCTTTTAGTGTAGCTGTTCTGAACTTAATTTAGTTTTTAAAATGCACACTGGTTGCAAATGTACATGAATAGGTTTTTGTTTCCTGTGATGATTTAGAAAAAGCAAATAATTTACAAGGGCATCATCATCTTTGAAATAAGAATTTTGTGCTATTTCATAAGAGTTTTAAAGGAAATCTTAAATTCACTTTGAATAAAAATAAATATGATCTGCAACTGAAAAAGGCCTTTTTATATGGCATGGAAAACTGGTGTGCATTACTCCTCAAAAACCAACCTATGTTCCTCGTTTGCCTTCTTTTTGAGGCTGTCTCTATATGAAATCACAAATACCTTTTAGACAATGTTGCAACTTGCAAGAGGTGATTTAAAAAATGCATAATTTACACATGCAAATCATATGAACTGTATCATCTCTAGCATGGGAATTAATTTTGTATCTCTAGGAGAAAAACTACATTCAATCCATTATTGTGTGAAATAGTTAACTGTTGCACTCTCAAATACTTCTTAAAAATGCTAAATAGGCTTAATTATGTGTATGCAGCATTTGTGTATGTTCAAGCTATTTTGTTACAGTTTCAGTCCAGGAGAAAATCAGTTTGATATGGTAAGATAATGAAAAAGAGATACAAAAAGAGAAACACACAAAACACATTTTTATCAATAAACATGTTAAGGAAACAATTACATATTTTATTCCAGTCAAAATCTTATATATGAAGTTCATGTTAATTTGTGATAAATTAATCATATATGCCATACTCAGGTAAACCTTCATTTCTAGAATACCTACATTAATAACTACATTTCTAGAATATCTTTGTTACAAGTCATTTTTCTACGGGCCATGTTCTTGATATTAAGTTTTACAACCCTTGTACTAATTGTTTACACATTAAGGATATAAAAACAGACATAATTTGATAAACAATCCAGCTGTCCAGGCAAAAGTGAAAATGTTTGTTGAATTGTATACATAATGCTGTAGAGAACACTCCTTTGTATGGTGTGACTGAGAAATAAAATAAATGAAAATAAGGAGGAAGGAAAAAAATGAGAGAGAAAATAATATGAAATGGACCTGATGCATAAATCCATTTTGAATGGCCAGTTGCTTACACAGAGACTGGAAATTTGCATGTTGCCAAAGTATGAATGGATGTAGTAACCCCTGCAGTATAAAAGTAACAGCCACTTTTATAGATAGCCTTTCATTTCTGAATCTGTACCCATGAACAAATAGCTTCATTCACAGAGATGCTACTGGATTTCACAAAGACACCTTAAAAGGCTGCTATTTCTGTTAAGGAGCCAAGTGCCAGGTACACTCACAACCTTTCATGTGGCCATTAAGTTCTCACTTGCCTGTCAGAAGGCCACTAAAAGTGAATATTGAAGCTCAGAGACCAAAAAACTGGGAGGCATTCCCTACAGCAGAGGCAGATTTCTAAGGGATTTGGTACAGTTGTGAGCCATGTTAATTCTTTTGAGCTGCTCTGCTAAGTATCTGCATATTTATTTAGGTACTTATATAGTTCACTTGTCAATATATATTTTTTCCTATGTTAAAACAGTGGTGAGTAACCCATTTCTTCTTCAGTAGACGATAATGTACTTGGGCTTTGGATGGAAATAGGAATTTGATTCAATGGGCAAAACCAGCATTTTAAAATAGGTTATTATTAGTTAAAGCAATCTAAAATATACTGGGTACATCAGGAAAAATATCGGAACATGTTACCCACTTAAAACTTATTGATTCATTGTTTAATAAACAAATTATTAACTTTAGCAAATAAACAGATTGTTTGCGGTCACTATGGATCAGGTTTCTGACCATATTAAGGTGTGTAAGGATGCTGATAGACCCCCAGTGGGATTTTTAAAACTGCCTAAGCACTTTAGGTATGTAACTCCCATTAGTCAATTGAAATCAATTACAGTTAGGTGCCTAACCTGCTTAAACTTTCTTTCTAGGCTCTTATTTGTATCTTTCAAGTGCCTAAATGCCTTTAGAAATCTGGACCCAGTATTTTAGAATTAGTAGATTGACATTTTAGAATTCATTGATTGGAAAAGGAAAATTATCTTTCCTGCTTTTTCATCCCTGAATTGGTTTTTCAATTTTGAATAAGCTAGTCTAGATGAAGGAAGCAGTCTCTTTGCACATCCCGCCTACACCAAAACAAACACATAAGCTAAAAGTATTTCTGCAGAACTGAAGCTGAAAATACATTTATTTGGAAAAGGTTAATGCCAAGCATTGCACCCTGACAAAGACTGAAATAATATATATATTTGCCAGTGCAACAAGCAACGTTATAAAATATTTCTGAAGGTTGAGTTTGCCTCAGAAGTTAAAAAGCAACACCTAAAACTGATTAGAATATGAACAGGGCACATGGATGCACCAGATATGTTCCCAGTATTTATCTAAACAATTTTAATAGCTTATATTTAGGTTTTGGTATAGGCTCTTATAACATCAAATTTACTTCTGCACAGGATAATATTTTAAAGAAAAATATAATTTAAATATTTATTTTATTTAATCATCCATTTTATCCATTGTGTGAACAAAAGTCTGTGCCACAGGCTTTCTTTATGGCTTTGGGCAGGTCACTTTGGGAATGTCTGTACAGATAATTGTGACTGCCTATCCACACTGAGAGTTCCTCATCCTGATGGGCAGGGGCAGTCCATCCTGCACCAGGAAGCTCTGCTGAACGTTAGGGTCAGAAGATGACCCCCTGCTGCTGGTCTTTTTCTCTCCAGGACTCTGTCTGGAACTTGCTCAGGCCTGCACATCTCCAGCACAGGGATGCCAACGCTAGTAAATCCACAACCCCTTCTTCCTTATTTCCAGGCTTTCTGCATCACGTTTCCTCTCTCCAGTATATGTAAGAAAGGCTATGTAGTCTATACATCAATGTTAAAACAAGAATTGCAGCAAGGGTGGCTTTGGGGCAGGCTGCAAGATATGCTAGGGCTGTCCATTTCAAGCAGCCAGGGGCCACATGTCCTGCAGGCCTCATCACATCATTCAGGCCACACCAGTGGAAGCCATTGATCCCACAGGTCACACACAGTGCAGGCGCCCTCCCGTATTGAATACATGGGCATCTTGCATTTGCCTTTAGCTCCCTGGTCATGGGTGCCCTGGGCTATTGGCTCCCCTCACACTGCTGTGGAAGTCCGAGGAGGGAGGGTGAACCTGGAGACTACAGCTGCTGCCACACCAAGAATAGTGGGGGCTGGGGCTGCAAATTAACTCCAAGTGAGCCACCAGTTGGACAGCTCTGAGGTATGATGTAGATGGGGAAGAGCATCTCCGTTGGGGGTGACCTCAGGTTTGATCCTAAATATTTGTGTAGATATGTCCTTTATATATGTGCAGAGGAAACTTACACTGGAGATTAGGAAGAACTTTCTGACTAAGAGGACGGTTAGACATTGGAACAGGCCACTTAGAGATGCTATGGGCTCTCCATCCCTAGAAGGTTTCACAGTTCACTGGAAAAGAAGTTTACACAGACACTTGACTGGGATGGTTTAGTCAGGGATGATCCTGTCTTGAGCAGGGGACTGAATTAGATCCTTTCCTGCCCTGCTTTCATACGATCCTATGCAATTTATGCCTCTGTCTTTGTCTATAAAATAGAGCTATGGAATGTGGGGATGAAGTCCATCAGTGACAGCTGAGTGCTACAGTGAAGAAGGCCTTGCACATAGGTTGCTAGAATGAATGAAGTTTAGAAGTCCTTATATTTGTCAGTGGAGAGTTATAGGTATGTTTCTAGGTAAGGTACAAGAATTTTGGACAAGATTTTGCTTTTTTTTTCTTTTTATCAGGAGTACAATATTGTGTTTTCATAGTGTAATCAGGCTGGCAGATACAACTTGGTTTAAACGGGAAATTTTCAAACATTACTACCTGAACTGTGCTAACTGTTGTTCAACAAAAAATATGTAATATCATGTTCTGGGAAATTAGACCATTCTTCCTTCTTTCAGTTTTTCTTGATTGGGCTTTTTAAAACATAACAGGTCTAGATTTTATTTTGGACTCAGAGATGAACTGGAACACAATCTCAGTTCTCAGGACTTAATGTAAAGTTTTATACTCCCAATGCAGTGAGCTAACCCACAAGCTACATTTTTAGTATTTTTTCTAACTGTACCTTTATGTTCTTAAAGATGCAACAAACAGTTCAATCCTGGATGTCTGTGCCACTTGCCATATTTATGCCACATGTCACCAAAAAGAAGGCAAAAATGTCTGCATTTGTAACTATGGATTTGTGGGTAATGGGAGGACTTATTGTCAAGGTAAGCTATGTTTTTTTTAACATAGAATCATCAAAAATTAGGGTTGGAAGTATGCAATTTCTAACAGTTTGGTTGAGAATGATGTTACTTAGATCTTAGGAATGGAAACGTTTCTAAAAATTTGTTCAAAACCTAGAAGGCCTATAGTTGTTTTAGTAATTATTATTTGTAAAAAATCTTATAAAATGTGGGTTCATCAGTTGCTTTTAAAATAAAATAAATATTTTTGTGCCCTTCACACTGTCAAAAGTATTAGTAATATTATATCTTTACTGCTTTTTAAATTTGGAGATACTTGATTCAATTTCCACATAAAGAGACACTGCGAAATTACATGTTTTACAAACCTCAGAATTTTGACCATGTTTTCCCCCAAATTGAAGGCATTAAAAATCTTCATATATTTTTTAAATTTTCAATGAAATAGAAAAGTAATAATTTCCCCCATTTTTGTTGCAAACAAATAATTTTTTCACTGAGAACCAGAACATGAAATGGACTTTTAACAAAAGAATCACTTCACTGATTTTTCCAGTTAGGATGATGACTTTAAAACCGTGGTGTCAAACTCAAATGGTCCCATGGGCCAGTTGAATGGTATGGGACTAGTCCGCTCCCACGTCACATGCTGAGTCTAGTACCTGTGGCACTCAGTCTGGCCAATACAGGATTGCACCTCTATTATCAGATTGGGATGCAAGTAGTACTGCTCCCTCTGAATACCCATGGAGCTGGGTGTGGAGGGGGGTGGCGGGTCCCAGACCATATGCATGGCCATCACTGTGGGACGCAATGATGTGGTCCTTGGGCTGTATCTAGTTTGCAGGCCATATCTTTGAATCCCTACTTTAAAATACTTTCAGTTCTTAGATTCAGAGGTGGTAGTGTTAAGATATATAGAAAAGTATGTTTATTGTATTTAAATGTGTACCATGTATTAAATACTAGCCCATACGTACAGTATCAAAGTGTCATCCAGGGACAGTGTAACAAGTGGGCATCCCAGGGCCGGTCAGTTGTTGGCCCGCCCACTTGCTTCTGGGCTAACCGCCTGCCTTCCTCATCTGCCACACCTTGATGTTAATGATTACAAGATGTTACCTAGGTGGGAGGCTGCCCATTTACTAGCCCAATGCTACAAGCATTACCCATGACTCCTACCTCCCCTTATTGTGTCCCAGGTCTTGCAGATGTTTCTCCCTCCAGTGGCTCCCACTGGGACCTGAGCTCCGGATTCTCACGAGGGCTCTCATTCGCCACTGGAGCTTGTGGTCTCAGTGCCATCACCCTGGGTTCTGTCTTTACACACACATACTCTGGGCCTCTAAGCCCTGGACCCCAGGCCCCACATACTAGGCTCCAAGCCTGCACACTCTGGACCTTCAAGCCTGCCCCATGGGATTGGGGCTCCTTGCCCTCCCTGGGCTCTCCCCTTTTCCTTGGCCCCGGGAGCTTCCTTAATAGCTCCCCAAAGCTCATGATCCCACCCCGCCTTAGAGCTTCACTCTAGCTCGTATATGCAGCCTTAGACTTCCACTGCAGAGTCTGGGCACTGCCACAGGTCCCTCAACCAACCCAGGTCCTGCCTCAGTACTCTCAGCAAGTCTGGGCTCCCCCTGCTTGATCTCACTCAACAGGGATGTGAGACTGAGGTTAGGAGGTGCCTCATACTCGCCTTTCATCGGGGAGGTAACTGGCCTGGCTACACTACAGACAGTCCCACCAGGCCACCCATACCCAGGACCATGGGGCTGCCTCCTTCCCCATAGCCCCAGCTCTTACCTCCAAGGATGTTCTATGGGTAGCAGCTCAGCTGTTGTACCTTCAGCTGCAGCAGCAAACTGCTGCTGTTTTGCTGTTCAGGGCCCTGCTCTTGTAGGCAACAGCTGGGCCCTGTTCCGCAACCAGGCAGCAGTGCCTAATTGGGATTGCAGGCAGCTGCAGACTGCCTTGGTGCTGCTGCTCAAGCCCCTGCAAGTAACAGAGCACCCTGTGCTCTGTTACAGAAGGTTACTATAGGTTACACCAATACAGCTGGTAGCTGGCAAGAAATCATTTACCCTGAGTTATGAAATTACAAAAAAATCAAAGCAAGCAGAAGTCTGATTTCTTGAGAATGATGGGCAAATTTTATTTGAATCTCTTTGATGTATTTTTGAATACGATGACAGATAAAGACGAATGCCAGATTGGAGCCAGCAAGATCTGTGGAGAGTATACATCATGTCATAATACTCATGGAAGTTTTTTTTGTGTTTGTCTGGATGGGTACCGTCCCTCTAACAACAACAGGACATTTATTCCCAATGACGGCACATACTGTACAGGTAACTGCAGCAACAAGACTCAATTTTTAGAGCCACCTCTTTGGCAAACACTTTTGTTTCTTTGCAGTCATATTCTTTATTTTAAAAACTCACATGCAAGCAGTTAACTCTTACTCACAAGTAACCCATGGCCCACTTATGTATGCACTAGCTACACATGTTATTCTCATGCTGTGAGCTAGGCTGATTATATTCTCCTTTCTTCTACTTTTCTTTGTTCTGTTGATGAGCACGATTGGTGCAAAGCTGTTTTACTGACCAAAAGAAGCTGCCATTAAGAAAAAAGGATGATTCCCCTTCCCCTACTTCCAGCTTTTCCAGTTTTTTGTTACTGTGGGGTTTCCACTTTTAGACAGAATATAGACTTGAGGGCATAGACAGAAGTGCAGCTCCCCACTGTAACTCAGAACGCTTTGCAGGAAGTGTTCTAAGTTACAACAAGCCCCTGGACCAAACAGAACTTCACTGTTGGTTCCAGGGGGAAGGAGAATCTAGCTCCTGGGTGGGAGCCTGCAGCTGCTTTCCCTAGTAATGACCTCTCCTCCCCCTCAGCATGTCCCTGTTTTCAGAATGGGAGGGGGAAAGGGAGCAGAGGGACTTGTTCTAGGGATTCTCCAGCCAGTGCTGGAGGGTGAAGTGGGTGAATTGGTAAATGCTGCATACGTGTAGATGACGATGCTTTACCGCGCAGTAGATTAGTCTACTATGCAGTAAAGTGTCTTATGTAAATGTGCCCAGCATGTTCCAGGATCAGTCCCTCAGATGATGGAATTTAAAAAGTAAATCCAATTAAAAAAAAGATTTATAATTTTTTTTGGGGATTCCAGATATAGATGAATGTGAAATGTCAGGCCTCTGTGGCCATGCAAGTCAATGTGTGAACACCTTTGGAAGTTACAAGTGCAACTGCATAGAAGGTTACAGACCAGAAAATGGAACAGAATATTTTAATCCATCTAAGATTTCATGCAGACGTAAGTGCCTTGGATGTTGTTTATGCTACAGATATAATCGGGTCCATCATGATATGGTAGTACATCCCCTGACCTATACTTCTGATTTCCCAGGGCAGCAGCCCTTTGTGTGGGCTTTACCTCTTGTTTTTTTTAATTCACCATATTGAAATGATATTTGGATGGTAGGGTGACAGTAAATGTAGATTGCCGCGGGCTCTCTGCAGTGGTTTGAGTATGTAAGGTCAGTGAAGTTTGCTATGCCATGGAGGTGATATAGTTAGGTTCTGAGTAAAGAGGAAATCTGCCATAACCTATTTGCATAACTGTGTTGCTTCAAGAGGATGGGAAGAGGGGGATAAAGGGCTGGTGAATGAGGTCAAGTGAGTAACACAAGCCTAGGGGAGAGGAATAATAAAATGATGAACCATCCGCTTGTCACATATGGTGCTGCCTGCAAGAATAAACGACTCTTGTTTTTCCTGCTATACACAGAAATTAATCTAAATTTGAAAATTTTATTTCTGTCTTTGCTTCTTCCCCTTCCTTCTAGTGTAAATTTGCATGGCAGTTCCATACCTGATGGACACAGAAGGCTCACAGAGCTGACTGCAGTTCTCAGGGTGCATTGTATCCATGGTGAAATGGACAGCTGGTGATTATGGAATTGTCTTATACAGAGAATTGCAATGTTAGATGGCAGAGCATATTGCACATAGTGTGTTGGATATTTTAATCTAAGGCAACCTTAAGTTGCCTAATTTTTAAAGGTGTTGATCAACTGCATGTCTCATGGACTTCAGACAAGATGAACAACTTAAATAAATTGACTATAATTACATGTGTACTGAATATCCCTCAAGTGGAATTTGACAAGTGGACACAGACAAGAAAGACCAGTCAGATTTGAACTGGTTAATCTAAATCATCTTAGATTAGGCATTAGAAGCAAGATAGAGCAGTACCAAAGGACATACCATTTGGCAACATCTAGATCATGGTATATGCATGAGAGGTCACCTAGATAGGTAGGAGTTTTTGGAGACCTGCCATCCTCCCTTTAGGGCACTGAGACAGAATCCAAAGGCCAGATTGCATCCAGACATTTGATCTCTCCTTGGCTATATTTTTACAAGCATCCAGGAATTGAACCCAGGGCTCTTGTGTGGTAGATAAGGATTCTACCATTGAGCCACAGGGGACTTGAACATACCATTTAACCTGGACCTTTCTGAGTATTGTTTCTATCATGCATGTGGAGATACACAGCCATTTACTCTTCTGATTTTTTTTTAAATCAATTTCCTGAGAGAATGTTTCTGATTAATAGTCTGTAGCTGTGCAGCCAGGTCACAGCTGCCATGAGGGCTGCTAGCTCCCAGTGGGGAGCCAGCATTTTATTTTTAGTTAGTTTTTTTTCATGGATTTTGTGAACAATGTCTGATTCCACAGAAAATTCCTGATTTTATAATTTCCATGAAATCTGCAAAATCACACCAGGCTTTTCTGGGCTGCGTTGCCTCAGGGCCCCCTGCCCCACCATCCACTCTGAGATGTGCAATGCCAGAGCCCAGAGCAGCTCTTTGCAGCCTCCTGGCTGCAGCCAGCCCAGGCTCTGGGTAGCTGCTGCCAGCCACATAGCCAGGGCCGTTTGCAGCCTCTCAGCTGCCTGCTGGGAACAGCCTGGGCTACATGACTGGCAGCAGCTGCCTCCTTGTCCATCAGTCTCTCTTTCACCTCCTTTTCCTCTCTCTCTCACCCTCTTTTCCTCTCTCTCGCCCCTTCCTCTCAAAACTATGGCAAAAAATTTGGTGTGCTGCGCATTGCGCAGCACTTTAAATTCCCCAATAATAATTTGGTGTTCAGCCCTCCTAGCTTTGGACAACATCATCACCTCTAGGTCAGGTACATACTTGAGTTCTACATGCCTGGTGTAAAGGGTGGAAACCCTATCCACACCAGATCAGACATCTGTCATATCACAGCCTTATATATACAGCCCTTCTTCCAACATATGGTACACATTAGTCTGTAAATATAAAATTCCCTGGAAAAATGAGTGTGGGGGTACTTATTAAAATTTTCAGAAGTTAGGGGGTACTTGCTACTTAAAAGGTTGAGAAACACTGGCATAGCCCATTATGAACAGAGCTGCTGGCATGAAAGCAAACAAGCAAGCCATCCCCACCCCTGGCTACTGATTCGCTGTCATATGGCCCCACCCTTTTCTACCAGTTGGGCAAGGAACAGGGTTGCATGATGAACAGCCCTTTCAGCCAATCAGTGGCAAGGAGCAGGGTCATAAAATGGACAGCCTCTCCACCAATCAGCAGGAGGAGGCAGGGCCATCGGGGCCCCTCAGGCAGTGAGAAGCATGGGGGAATCCCACCACAATAAGCCCTCTAAATTGGCAGCCCACCCTGCGATCTGCCCATGAAATTGACTGGCTGCCTCAAGTTGAGTAGATGCCTATCCATGGAGCTCCAGGGACACATTCCAGGCCCCAAACTTAAAGATATATCACTGTTGTTCAGATAGTGACGGGCAGTAGTATTTCATTCCACTTTCCCACTTCAGGGTAGCATTTGTTCCCTTCCTTGCCATCTAAGTGCACAGAGTTGGTTGCCTACATGAGATTTTGGGTCATCTAAGTGCCAAACTTATGCATGGGTTGGAATTCTAATCTTGGCCGAATAGTCCATGTGCATACGTATTTGTCTGCGCATGCAAACTGGGCAGGTGCACCAGGAAGAACATGGAGGAGAAGGGCCTTCCCATCCTGTCTCCCAGTAACTGAGTGGGTAGGGCACTCAGGAAGTTGGAGAATCTGGATTCTAGATCTGCTGTGCCTAGAGAGGGTTTGAACTTGAGGCTCTGATTTCTCAGCACAGCACGCTAGCCCAGCCAGTCATGGGGTTTGGTTGACTAGATTTTCAGGTCTTGGACATCACCATAGCCCTCCTCAACCTGCCCCCCTGGTGCCGCTGCTAGCCCCTGCCTGTAGCCAGCCTGGGCCCTGGGCAGCTGCAGCTGCCCAGAGTCCAGGCTGGCTACAGGCAAGGGCCAGCTTTTCACACTTCTACTAAGAATTTTATGCTAATGCACTATCAGCTCCATTTTGTTCTTT